GGGCAAAAAGGACCCTTAGTATGGCTCCATCTTCCAGTATCTCCTGCCAGGATTTGAGTCTGCAGGCCGACGCTCTATCCGCTGAGCCAAACCAGTTAGGACCCTGCCAGAATCCTTACACTGTATTTTGATCAGGTTGCTACTTTAGTACAAATGATTAGGGTAGAAGCTCGAAGAATTATCGGAAAAGTACCGCCCACTATCTGCCTCCCATATACCAAGCAACAGTTAGATTGGGACTTGCAAAACTGCGATAATTGGGCCATCGCTTTAGCACAATATTCAGGTGTCCTGGATAATCATTATCCAAAGGGAAAATTAGTACAATTTGCTAGCAGCCATGCCTTTATATTTCCCAAAGTAGTGAGAGATAGTCCAATTGCTTCGGCTGTCTTGGTTTTCACTGATGGCTCTTCCAATGGAAGAGCAGTATTCACAATTCAGGGTCAAGTCACTGTCTTTAATACTAGGTAGAGCTCTGCTCAAGTTGTAGAACTCCAGGCTGTTTTAGCTGTTATTAAGCATTTGCCTACACAAGATTTTAATCTCTACACAGATAGCCACTATGTTGTATGGGCTATGGAGGTAATAGAGACTGTACCTCTCATAGAGACTACCAATCCACAGGTACGGAGCCTTTTTAGGGAAATACAACACGCTCTGCGGCAGCGTTCTCTACCCTGGTTTTTTGGCCACTTACGGGCTCATACTGGCCTTCCAGGCCCTCTTTCAGAAGGAAATAATCAGGCAGATCTAGCTACACAGCAAATTTTTTACTCTCAAGAACAATTAGCACAACAATCTCACGCTATACATCACCACAACAGCAACAGCCTTCGCCAGCAATTTAAAATCACCAGAGAAGCAGCCAGACAAATTGTCAAACAGTGTGCCCATTGTCCTGAAACCCATACTGTTCCGCATTATGGAGTTAACCCTAGAAGGTTAAAACCCAATCACTTATGGCAGATAGACATCACTCATATTGCCTCTTTTGGCAAATTAAAATATGTGCATGTCACCATAGACACTTTTTCAGGATTCTTGATGGCTACTGCTCAGGCTGGAGAAGCAAGTAAACATTGCATAGCTCATTGTTTAAAATGTTTTGCAGTCATGGGACAACCCAAATGCATGAAAACAGATAATAGACCAGGCTACATAGGTCAAAAGTTTCAAAAATTTTGTCATACTCTAGGGATTGATCATAAAACAAGTATTCCTTACAACCCTCAAGGTCAAGATATAATTGACAGAGCGCACAGCACCTTAAAAAATCAGTTGCA